AATCAATAAATAAATAAAATAAGAGATTAACAAGTCCAAAGGTGCCCAGTGGGATTTATAAAGGGCACGGCCCGTCCTAAAGCAAGTTTTTAACAGTAGCTTCATAGGGATGACCAGCTCCTTATTGTCATGGTTTATATTTACATTATTTACAATGACACACAGTATAATTTCTGAAGCAAATGCTCAGACTAAGTGAAGTCAATAAAGATACTCATTACTGTCTGCAGCTTCGACACAGTGTCCTAGTTTGGTCAGCTATCTGTGAGGAGCTTGGTCAATCAGGAGACTAAAATCATTTGGCTGCCAATAACTCCATGATCACCAGCTGGCTTGCACACTAAGACTTTTGCCTTCAGTGGGGTAGAGAGGGGGCTCTCTGCATCCCTTGAGTGTAGGATGTGGTGCAATGGCTGTTTAGAAAGATTACCAATAGTCATATCACAGCTTGAACACCCATGTGAGGAGAAGACTGAAATATTGATTTGCCATATAGGACCATCAACAGCCAAGTGTATTTATTAGTGTTTTTAATTAGTTTATTTTCTGTTTTTATGGCACACATCATTACAAATCATGAATCTTTTTATCACCATCCCCATTCACATTCAGCACAGACTTAAGGAGTAAGAAACATGCACAGCCAATCGATACATGTAGCTAAGAACCATTCATTTCAAAGGGAATTAGTACATGTTTTATTCCCATGGTCGACTCCAATCAATGTTATCTCTCCTAAAATCAGAGACCAGAGAGCTATGACTTAGGCTTTGATGTCTCAGACAATCACTGAAATCTAATAATACTTGAGAGACTGATTTGTGGACAGATTTTGGGGTTTTATGCAATAAAATTCTTTATCAAATCTGAACTCTGAGGATACCCCGCTGGAGTTTTCACCATCACCATCTACATCTTTTTCATTTTACTCCCTGTGGAATTTTACATCTTGGTCAGATCACAGGCAAAGTCTTGAGGTGAATATTTGATAGAACTACCCCACACCACAGAAATGAAGTAATTTTCCTTCAAATGTCCCTGTAAGATTGGATTTATTATCAGTCATTTACATCTAATATAGCCTGAGCTATAACATCTAGTCATAAAATGCCATCAATCTAAACTCTACTGTTTCAGTCGTACTTTTGGGACCATGGAAAGGAGTTCAGACTGTATAAATCTCAAATGTTGACAGCTGCAGTGACAACCCCATCAGCGATAATCCAGTGAACAGTGTCCTGCAGTAGCAAAGGCCATCGTTGGTGAAGACATCTCAGACCAGCAGCATATTTCACATAGCAATCCATGAATCAACGTTATTATTAGTTATATTTCAGGACCTTCTTCAATGACCAACGTCTGTGATGCCTCTTATGTTATGACATACACCACAAAAGAAATTGCACCAGATAAGAACACGCTTATGAGGAACATGCAAAATGATATAATTCACCCACTGAAATATGTCTGCATTTTGGGATAACACATGAATATTTGCATTTTTTCTGGGACACCGGGATCTTTAGATGTGGTCTCAGACTAATGTTTCAGCCGCACACCCGTTTGCCCAGCAGACTAAGGTGACTCAAATTACCTGAAGTAAAAAATGCAGAGCAGCTCATTTCTTTTGAACAAGCCTGTTTGTAGTTTAAAGATCTTTGTTCCTGATAAATGCTGCCAGTTGAAAACATTTTTGCATGGTGGATATATAAAGAGAGATAAAATCTCCATGGCTTTGTCTTTGTTATGGTAAAAAAAAAAAAAAGTGCATGTGCATTTAGCTGTGGTGTAGGTGTGTGTGTGCATTTGTGCATCTATGTGCATGTTTGTGAGGATGTGGATGTGTGTGTTTGTAAGGGTGTGTGACTGTGATGCGGGCAATCTGGATGTTTACTGCAATGTCTTGTCATCCATTTAAATTGTGCATAGTCCCATCAAGACGTGTTGAAGTGTATCATACTGCAATACAGTATTTAGACGGGCAATTGAACAAGTATCAGCTAAGTGTGAGTAAATGTCAGTGACAAAAGCATGTTCAATTTGCCAAAAATGTCAAATAGTGTCTCATCAGCATCACATAAAGGGCCAGGTTGGACACAATCCTTTTTAATTTGTTGCCACTACACCTTCCTGGAAGGCATTACTTGATTATTTCATAAATTATTAATGTGTTTTGATTGCTGCCAAACAGCCTGCACCTTCCCACGGCACTGTCACATCACATTTACCTAAGGGGTTAACTGTTGTTTTAAAGTTCAGGTGGCGAACAGTTTGTTGAGATAACCGATTCCATTACTGTTTGAAAAAACACGAGGGAATCCTCCAAGTGCACACTTATATCCATCTGGTGTCCAAGCAAACAGGCGCGCAATGCGCAAACACTAATAATCTCTTTATAGGTAATAAAAGAAAACACAATTATGGTTAAAAAAAAATAGCAAATGCTCCAAGTTAAATGCTTTGTTAGAGTGGAATTTATTTGCAGGAACGAATTCTTTTTGTGCGCACGGAATCAGCTGTGCGTAAAAATGTGACAGATTGATGCGCATCTACTGAATAATAAAAACGTCTATATCAGGTAGAAACAAAGTTAAATATCACCGGTGTGTGGGGCATTTTTATGTTCTTTACACCTTTAAAATATGATGAAGTGTATTTTTGTAAAACTGAAACTTACGCTGCTGTTGTGCCCGGACCAGTGCACCATAGCCTGGTTGTGTGCCGAGTCTCCCGACAGAGCAAAAGTAGAAGTGTCCAGGTGAGGTTCGTTCTGTCTCGGGTTTGACACTCTTGCTTCCTCTCCGCTGCGCCGATACTCGGGTCTTGCGCTGGAAACACCTTGGACAGTTTGCACGAATCTCTCTCTTGAATACGCTTCTCCACTTATACTCCTATCCACGTTTTCGTTGTATGTTGCGCCCACACTCCTCTTTGCCTTCTTTCTTCCGGCAGAAAATGTATTTTCTAACATTATATTCGCTTTGAATCGTCCTTCTTTGTCCTCGAAAATGTTATCATACTTTTTATCGGGAATGTTGAGACCGCTGCTATAGTTTGTTTTGATGTCGATCGGTGCCTCATTTCCACTCTGTGTTTCGTTCCACACTTGCTGGCCATGGTTTCGTTTCAAAGCCCCGGCTGTATTTGTTTCATACGCGCTAAAAACTTTCGTGTTATTGTCGATTTTCAGTGAGACTTTGATTTCCGCCGATTTTCTGGCCACACGTGCGTCCAGTGGCGTTACATCCAGTCGATAAAATCTGTCGAGTTTTGTGGAAAAACTTATTTCCGCGCGAGCCACAAACTTGGGGTGAAAGGGGCAGAGCAACACCAAAGCCAAAAGAGAAAACCCCCAAAATGACCAAAGTCCCATTGTGGTCTTCCAAACTGACAGTCCACCAGTGGGGGGAAAATACAGAGAGCGGCAGAGCTGTTCAACTTCTAAAATATTCAAGGCATCATCTTTATGAGCAAGAAGCCATTCAGGAGACCCGCTCACGTCCAAGAATTTGTCAAAGTGAGGGACCAGTTTGGGAGGCGCTGCGCATCAGACAAACGCACCGACGGTGAGTGACTGCGGGAACGGTTGGAGCTCATTGTTCATGAGGACGTTTGAAGAAAGAAAACATTTATAACGTTGTAATCACCCGAAATCATTTTGAAATTATTCCACAATTCTATTGTGTTTTATTCAGTAACATCTTAGACTCTTTATGTTGCCTAAACCTATGCAATTTGTCCAAAACAGAGCTTGAATGACTCAGAGCTGTTGACAGCAAAAGTAATTTGTGCTTTGCAGTACCCTGTTCATTCTGTGGCAACGTTTTGCCTTTGAAATGGCAGGAAAAAAAAACATCATTTGCTTGCATCAATCAACACCGGATTCACTTGTCAAATGTGCACGCGCGCGTAAGGGCGCGTTTGGGGAAAATTCAGATGGACTTTCTGATAAACATCCATGACTGATATCATTTTAAAATGCATTGCAGCAGAGATTCGGAATTATCTACCTTTCTTTGTCTGTTGACACTGTAACTTTTTTTTTTCCAATTACGCCACACGGTGTGCCTCAGGCCTTCTACTGCACAACAGTCCAGGATAGAAGAAGAGCTTTGAAGTCATATAATGATATGTTTGGCACCATCTTCATGACTTGTGTTGCCACTGAGGCAAGAAGGATCAAGTAGCTCTTTCAATCTTGGCACTTCGACAGTTTGTAATATTCCATCATTTTTAGAGTGTACATTTGAAAACTGAGTTTCCTCCAAATCAATATGCAATTTAAAAGGTATTAGTTTCAATTAGTGCAGCTAAATGAATCCTGAAAAGGCAATTCCAACTTCCTGCTGACTGAGCTGTCTGTCAGTTCTTGAAATTGTGTGTCAATATTTTAAAAAGTACTCCTGAAATACTTGTTTGTGCTATTTTGAGTGCATAAGTGCATTCAGAGTTGCACAAGCAAGCCTAAAAGTACACCATACTAACCACTGTGACGTCACCCTTAGCTTTGATCTCTGCATTTTGAAACCTTAACTTTAGGATTTTGGCTGGCACCACATTTAATTTTTAAGCCAAAAGTTACATTATATGGATGAAAGGATGGAGTGAAAAGTTGTGCTTTTTAGGAAGGTTTCCTAGTAACCTACATTTGAGTGGTGAAACACACATTGGCTAATTAGTCCTAAAGTAATAGACTAATAAAAGGTGTATCTCCATGTTGGTCTTGTTTCTGCATCATCATAATAATGTTGTTCCAGCATCAGCACTGCAATTGACCAATCATGTTGTTGTGATGTCAGAGCTTTGCTATGTGGTAAAGACATGTATGTTTCAACCAAGTTTCATGTTGGTTCCATACATGCCAACCTTCCCGATTTTTCCGGGAGAATACCGAATTTCAGTGCCCCTCCCGAAAATCTCCTGGAGCCACCATTCTCCCAAATTTCTATTGATTTTTCACCTGGACAACAAAATTGAAAAATCATATCTTAGAATTCATAGCACGGCCCAGCCAATTCCAGTTTCCAGCAATGGCAGCAGCTACTTAGTTTTAATATTACTCTTTCTGGGTCGCAAAATAAACATTTAACATATTTTCAGGCGAGAAATCGATTTGGCTGAGATTAAAGTTATTAGATCAGATTAGATTAAATTTAACTTTATTAATCCCTCGGGAGGGTTCCGGGGGTTTCACACAGCCAAATAAACATCAAACAGAAAACTGATTAAACAGAAATGTGAGATGGTCGAGAATTTATGCCAGCGTCCGGTTATATTTTAGACAGCAAGGAGCAGACGGCAGAGTTTCACTCCACCGAGAGAGCTCGTGACGTAATTCTGAAGGCTAGACCGTCCAATTTCACAGTCACTCACTTCCGGCCTACCCGGCTTTCGGAGGACCTGGCCCACAGACCGTGAAGGCCAGGTCCTCAGGAGGATGAATTTGGATGCCCCAAAATTCCAGCCAATAATAACGGTGACATTTAACGTATTTTATCCGATAAATAAACACTGTAAAATGTATTTATCACCCCCCCAACAGCCCTTTTCAATGTCTCCCTAATTCTGAGGTCTCAAGGTTGGCAAGCATGGTTGGCTCCATGTTGGATAGCATTAGCTAGTTTTAAATAGCATTAGCTAACTTCATGGCTAATGCTAACTGAACTGCTAACTGAACTGGTCAGTTGCACTGTTAATCCTGGACCATCATTGTTATAGTGATGCAGGAGTCACACCAACAAAGGGATATTACATTGTAAAAATGCTGGATTTAAAATCTGAAGTACCGTGTTTATGTATGTCCAAACTATTGTGTGTGTGTTTTTTTAACAGACTTTTATATATGCCTTTTATTTCTGTAAGTTTGGCCACTTTAACATGGAAGTCTATGGGGAGCGAGCTGCAAACAAGCACCCAGAGAAATGCAGTTTTCAGCACATGACTACATTTTCCAGCTCCAGGGGTTGTCCCTTGGCCTACGCATGCAGCACATCAGTTCTGATAACAGTCATGCTGAACATGGAACTGATCTCTTCTTCCTTTCAGTGGTTGCAATTTCGGAAATTGTAGGGTCTTGACCTTTCAGCATAAAGCATGTTCAGGTGAATGTTGTTGGCACTTTATAAGTAGACCTGGATTGAATTGAATTGAAACAAAACAGAAAGAAAGGGCTGACCAACCAAGCCAGTAGCAAAGGAGATTGTCAGTGCTATCTAGGCAATTAATGGTGGCATTTTTCATCAGCTATTAATGTTACATGTCTTAATAGCTGTCTTTGGTATAGAAGAATTTAGTACTACATTTTTGATGAGAGGATCAAAAATATGACAGCTGTGGTGATAATCACAGTCTGATTCTCCTGTCTTCATTTTTGATAAGTGAACAGTTTGGACCATTCAATTTGAAATAACACCATCTTGTTGGAATTTGCGCACTATGTTAATAAATATGCATATACACAGTGCACTACATGGAAGCGTAGTCCACAGATGTATTCAAATGGAGACACAGTGATAGGCCTATGTTTACATCTGCCGCCAGACAGCTGCCCAAAGGACAACAATAAAGAGAAGAATTTTCATCTTTTCCAAGGACGACAAGCACGACACAAAAGCAGTAACCAGATTTGTTTTTGTATGTCACTTACATTTTGAGATAAAGTGAGAGCAATAATACCCGTCAAGGTTAAAAAAATCCATGAGATACTTAAAAATGGATCCCACGGTTGCATGAACATGAAAAATAGAGAAAAAAAGCCAACTGTCCCATCTTATTCTTCATTTGATAGTGAACAAAGTACTTCAGAACAAGTAAAACCAAATCATAACGATTTTCAGATTTCATATTCAGGAATGCAGCTTTTTTACTCTACTGTTACAACTCTCAGCAGCAAAATCATGCATCTGCTCAGCTGTAAAACATAGTGGAATTGGGGGTTGAGAAAATTTACAGCCCTTGAAAACTGTGCAGCAAGAACAACCCCAAAACAATTCACTGGGAGGACTGACGTTGACATGAGTTCAGTGCTGAGAACAGCACCTTCGGATCATGCACACATTCACAGACAGTGCAGTGAAAACAGCAATCAGAAGGTAAGCCGGCAGTCCCATCCGCCTCAGAGGGCTCAATTCATCGGTTTTTGGCATGGCTGTACAAACAAATTGAGATTCATACAAGTGAGTACTCAGGGCAGCAGGTGCTACTGTTGCATCTCCACAGCACGCCAGACAGCTAACTCTCTCTACAGGCCATTCCCGCCAGAACGCCCCTGCAATGAGGGGGTAATTGGACTGATCACACTCTGTTTACCCATTATGCTGCTAAAATGAAGTGGGTTGTTCCCAAACACACTGTGACAGGCCAGGGAGGGAGGAGGAGCCTCTTCTATCAATGACACATCTTTTAATCTATACTAACCTTGGGCAGGAAGCATTGTGCGAATTCGCTGTTTGCCTCATTGCGCACGTTCATGTGTGCGTCTGTGTAAGACAGAGAGGAAGAAAGAGGAAGAGGCAAGCATTTGTACTTTTATGAAGAAGTATCAGGGGGAGAGTTTTTAATGTGTCTGTGCCCTACATCCTGTGTGTGCTTTCACTATGACAAGGAATATTGCATATCTTCCTGGGTGGAGAACATCTCAAATTCTGCATAAAACTTAGCTACAGTGAAAGAGAATAGGCAAAAAGAGAGATGAGAGGACAAGACTGAAAACTGTGTACATCGGTGTAGCTCATTTAATTTTATATGCTCCCCTCCCCAGTGTAGATCATTAGCAAGATTATCAGATGTAATCATCTCATTTCTCTTGGCACATAACTCTGACAATCCTTGCAAATGGTACCATCCTCTCTCCTGTTTCAACCGAAGACAGGAAGCAAACTCTAAAGCTTTCAGGACAAAATCCCATTTGTGCATCTGCTGTCTGCATCCCAAGCTTGTTAGTTCCAACACTTCAGTGATCCCGGCGGAGCAGACGCACAAGCAGTAGCAGGAACCATAATGGCCATCACCCAGACAGCTCACACTCGCATGCAAGAGATGAACAGCAAGGTGCACTCCCCACACTGCTATACCCATGCCATTAAAAAGGGAAACTTTCTTTTATTGCAGATGGCAAAACACTTATTTTGTACCCCCTTCATCGTCTAGATGAAATAAAAGGGATTTTAAAATCACAGTGGGAGGAGTAGTTTAGGACAGTTTGCCACTGCTATAAACTGGCCCTGTCACTGAAAACGGGTCTCAATGGTGAATCACTGTATTACTATTATCGCTTTGACATATTTGTTCTTGGGCCTCTTTCCTGTACACGATGAACACAGGGAGCAGCTTGGCAGGATATCAATACAATTTACTTGATCTCTTAAAGCTGTAGTTCATCTGTCACGCACAGCAGTGATGTTTTACTTTCAGCAGAAATGTGTTGGGTCAGTTATAGGCGTTACTCCTTTAGCTATATACATTTACATAATGCAGCATCATTGCAGTTCATTTCCAAT